AGGCCTAGATACAATAACATTAACATGAACACAAAATGCAATGTAAATAAATACAAGCAGTTCCTTACTTTATGGCTTTTTAAAAAAAAAAAAACTGGAGTAACCATGTGATGGCGGCGTGCACAAGTTTTGGCTCCGCTCCTACCCAATGACATAGGCACGTAGGGTTATAAAAGATAACGTAAAATATGCACGCGCGTGCACAACTATCACCCCTGCGCTGGGCGCCCCTTCCCCTGTAACTGAGGAGGTAATTGATGTGCATCTGTGTAAAACACGCATAGGAAAAAAGAACGACAGAAAGAACGGCTCCCCTCCAGCCGCGACTCGGCTCCCATCGTTCATGTTTATGAGCCGTTCAAAAGAATCGGTTCGTTCGCGAACGTCACAACTCTACTCCACACACATACTCCCCGAGCACATTCGCATTCACCGCTCAATCGCGAGTGACTGTCAGTTACTACAGCTGAGCCTACAGTTTTCTAGCTAGCTATGCCTTCGACACGGACATGCATGGGCTACTACCTGGATGCGATCATGTACAAAACAGATCGGTATCTTCATTTAAATTCCCCTAAAAACGATCACATCAAGAAGAGGTTTTTAGAGAGCCTAACGTTACCTTGATGAAGAGCTGAGGATCACCCCCAACACCCGCCTCTGTAGTGATCATTTTACACTGGATCGATTTATAAACTTTCCTCAGAGACAACTTGGATTCACTGATAATTCACTGATAATCCGCTGTTACTGGTGAACGGGGCCGAAACGACGATCTCCCGCCTCAGCTTTCATCCTCCCGTCTCCAAAAGCTAATCAGCTAATATCACCGTCAACAGCTTTCCCGTGAGTGGGCGTGGTTTCAGCACAGCCAGTGGACGCGCCCCCAGCGTTTGAGAGCAGAGAATCTGCTCATTTTTTCATGATTTTGATAGCTTATTTTATGTACAACCCGACTTTTTTTATCATTTAAATTTGGCTGGGTGGCCAATTACACATTTTTCTGTGGTCTGACAAACTCAGAACACATACTTAATTTTGACTTTACAGGGACTTTAAGAAAAGGCTTTTGTTAGTTTCAGTCTAATATTATAGAAGTAGCTCTCGAGTAAACCTTTTTTTTTTTTTGAGAAGGTTAGTCGATATATATAATGATGAAACCTTTGCGTTTTGACTAGAGTAGGCCTATGTGTGACTTGATGTTATTTCAGCACCATGGACAGTGGCGCTGTGTCGTTTGCTTATTTTTAGCAGCAGGCCTGCAGTCGAAGAAAATAACATTTGGGTTTATTATTTATTTCCTGACAGAAAAAAAAATATATGATTGTTATTTGATTGTATAAGGCTCATTCGCATAGACATACCGCTGAGATCAAAGTTTAGGATGAAGATGTGACACTCTCCTCTTGAGACCACTCCTCTGCTGAAATTTAGATTCCACTCCAGGTTTCCACTACATGGCTCCTTCTGTAGACCAATCGCTCCATAAATTACCTGTTAATTGCGTATGATTATTATTATCAGGACGGTGGACGTGCTCATCAGATGCTTTTCATTTGGGTCAGCTTGAGGCACATTGAAATCAGCAAAGGACTCGAGAGAGGGGTGAAGAGAAAGACTATAGGGAACAGTAATGGCAACATAACTTATATAATCACTGCGATACTACGCACAGAACATAATTATAATGATTTGTGCTAACACATTTCGTCCTTGTATTAAAAATATGGCTCAAGGCAAGTCGGGCGTGATCTCGGGCAGCGCGGCCCCAAGGGTATGCTTGCAGAACCGAGAGCAGTGCCCTGCCAAAGAAAGCGGACTGACTCAGCTGGGCTGGGTTATACTGACAGTCCGAAATGACATTAACGGGCCATTACAGCCTCTGAGTGCGGTAGGTGAGAGGGCCACGGAGTGTATTTTGTTTCCTTTTTAATGCTGCTTTGGACCTCGTCCAAATATTTAAAATTGCATCGTTAAGGCCAAACACATACGAGGTTATACTGTGTTTTATTATTTGACCGGTTGACCTTTGGAAAGAGCACATGGAATTGGAAGAGATGCAGTGTAGATACCAGTGCTTCACAGCTCTAAATTACTTGTAATGTACTTATAAGAGAAGTCGCTCTTCTAGGAAGCGTAGCATGATGCAATTTATTGCATTTATTGTGTTATCGTGAACTCTTAAAAATTAAATGTTCCAATTAGAGCCAAAAAGGATTCTGCAATCATGTGTCATGGAGAACCTTTAATATTCAAAGAACTTATTTCATTCTCTTTTTTTAAATTATTTCTTTAATATTTATTTTTCTTTATATATATATATATATATATATATATATATATATATATATATATATATATATATATATATATGTATGTATGTATATATATAAACATTAGGGCTGTCAAATGATTAATCACATCCAAAATAAAAGTTTCTGTTTACATAATATATGTGGGTGCACTGTGTATAATTATATATATATATATATATATATATATATATATATATTTTTTTTTTCATGCATATAGATTTATATATAATTTAAATTAAATATAAACATGCATGTGTGTATTTTTATATATATGTGTGTGTATATATATATATATATATATATATATATATACAAAAATGATTATACACAGTGCAACCACATATGTTATGTAAACACAAACTTTTATTTTGGATGCGATTAATTGCAATTAATCGTTTGACAGCCCTAATATATATATATATATATATATATATATAAACTTTATTTTATTTTTTTATTTTTTTCCATTTTTATGTATTTTTATTGTCACAAATGATCTGTATTTTCAACTCAAGAACCTGAAAAATGGTTCTTGGTCATTTTTAAAGGATCACTGAAGAACCTTATGGAAAAAGTGTACTTCTCAACCAATGACCTAAAAATAGATTACATGACTGTTTGTGTGATTGTAGGTCATGGTCAAAAACGATGCTAAATGCAAATAATGAAATACAACAATCATATGATTGTGCTTAATTAGCATGAATGGCTCGGTGGAGAACTTTTTACAGCCATGAAATCTTTTAATTGCACAACAAAAAAAAAAACATATTCTTTAGACTGTATGATTTTTCACACTTTTCTTTCATATAACCGTTTGTGCAGTGGAAAGGTTCTTCATGGGTCAGGTTACGTTTAGTATAGTGTTGGATGGCCACTTGATATCAAGTGCTAAATCTGAGTTGTGAACTGTTCTAAACAGCTACGTCATTGGCTTTTCAGTGCCTTCAGAAGGCCTCATCTAAAGTGGCTTGTTGTTTTCCTCCATTTTGAGTTCGCTTGAGCGCTCCTACCTGCCGTTGTGCCTGTGCCGAACACATGTACGCCTGTTGTTCTCCGTGGGCCTCGTGCTCAGCAGGAACTCTGAGGCAGCCTACAATTTCCCATCATTATGAGCAGGTGCTTTGGTCTCGACAGTGGTGTGTCATTGTCAGCATGAAAAACGCTGGGGTTGTGTGCTCTGGTGTGGAAATTAGAGGCGTGCATGCAACGTTTGCACTTGTGCATGCACGCTTTGACTGTCACCAGCGGTTCATATCATGGATAAGTGGGATTTTAGATGTGTTCATGGCTCAGGTTGGATGTTTGGAGACATCACTCAAACCTCCAAGCAGTCTTCATTATATCAAGGTTGTTTTTCCTGATCAGAAAGAACAGCAAATCTCTGTGGACTCATTCATGGGTTTGTTGAAATTGAAGAGACACTTTGTTTTTTTAAAGTGAAGAGTTTATTGTTGAAGCAAATGCTCTGTATTAGTCATTCTCGACAGAATTTTGAACTGATGAAATCCAATGAAAGTAAGGTTTAAGTGAAAAGATGTAACTATAAATAATCTCTAGTACTTTGAATTTCCAATGTCTGCTATTGACCCGTTGCTCTTGAATTATGTTCCAGGGACACAAAAAATATGACCATGCTTCAGTTCTACTCTAAATGTAGCCGTAAGTGAGAATCAATAAAAAAAAATTGTTTTATGATAAGATTTCAATTGCTGTTTGTAATGTCCATTATGTACAGAGCAGGTAAACCCTACATTATGGGGACAGAATGTTTCCACAAAGAAGGCAGTGTCCAAAATCCTTGTCAGGACATTTTTGGTCCCCATGAGGAAAACAGCATAAACCATTCTAAGTTTCTTGAAAATGTAAATATTTAGTGTAAGGGATAGAATATGTTTGTACAGTATAAACATTGCCAATGGAAAGTCCCCATATAACATGAAAACACAACATATGTGTGAAACTTGTTCAAATCATGCCTATTTTTTAAGACAAAAAAAACGTTACGTAGCACAATCTAAAATGCATTGAGCCAAAATCTTACAAAACATGCTCATTGAAATGGACACTGGTTCTGAATGGGTTAAAGGTTCCTCGTTGAGATCCAACTATGATACAGATTTGTATTTTTATAACCCCCATTCCTGAACACACACACACATCCGTGTCGCCTTCCTGCCCGTACACACCGCGCGGAGGAGCTCATAGCCCTCTTTCTGGCACGTGCATTTGAAAATAGGCATTGCTTCTCATTCAGCGAAATATTTTTTTACGAATAAGTGCTACTGTTAAAAATAACTATAATAATAACAACAACATTCAAATGATTTATCAAAGGTTGCATGCATTTGGTTGTTTGTGTGCTTGCACTTTCCGAGCGTTTCAGCACTGTCGCTGTCCATTAGCTCCCTCTGCGCTTTACAACGAATTTTGGTGAATCCTTTGACGCTTTCCCGAAAAATGCACATAGGGGAACATTATGCATTGGAGTGCCTTGGAAAACCAATGCATGCACGTTTTGTTTTAAATATATAAACATATTGGTCATTCAGAAGGTGCGTCATTCACAAGGCAGCGTACAAAGAGCCGTGTAAATGTGATATTTTCTTTATTTATAGTCCCTCTCCTTCGGCGGAACATACCATGTTACTATATAACGATGAGAGGGGGAGAGAGAGCGTCGTGTGACATAAAGGGAGCTGCTTTTTCTCCTCTTCCTCCCCACTGCACTGAACGCGTTTGAGACAGCCCTGTCGGTTTAAACCGGGAGGACACCCATACCGACTTCTCAATGCAAAAAATAAAAGGGTAGCTAGAAGCAGGGGCGAGGGGAACGGAGGTAAAGCGAACGCTCACGGTCTGTCTCTCTCTCTCTCTCTCGCTCTCGTTTTTATTACGTGAATGAATGAATTGAGTAGTAAGGAACAAATACAAGGAAACACGCCTCCGCCTGGACGACCAAACGCGTTTGATATTTGACTTGTGTTCAATGGTAGGTGTTTGCATCTGTACATTTTCGGCGAAAACCACAGTAGGACGTCTCATCCCGTCATTTGAAACACTTCAGAAGGCGTAGCAGCTGAAAGTCCTCGCGGTGAACATGGCAACTTTAACGAACGGACAGGTGGACGCCGCGGTCCATGGAGGAGCGGCCAGTACGAACGGGCTCGTGAACGGAATAAGCCACACTCACAGTCCCGCGAGCTGCGCCACCATTCCCATGAAGGACCACGATGCCATCAAACTATTCATCGGACAGATACCCCGCAACCTGGACGAGAAGGACCTCCGGCCGCTCTTCGAGGAATTTGGCAAGATCTACGAGCTCACCGTCCTGAAAGACCGCTTCACTGGCATGCACAAAGGTACGTTTCGCTCTGCGAGAGCAGTTTCCCCATTTGATTCCTGTCACTATGTCTTGATTTGATTTGCCTACGTTTCCATCATTAAATCGAATTCTATGAACAACAGTCTTGGATGTACTGGCTATTTTACGCATAAATTTAACATGAAATAGCCTATGTTAGGGAATAATTCATTCATTGGTTTACTACGAAAGTTAAGTATTGATTTAGAAATGTTCCGTAGCCTATTCTACACGAAGAGAATTATGATAAATAGCAACTGAAGGCAAATGGTAACGTTAGGCTACTTAGCGGTTTTTACGCGATCCTATTTTGAGGATGGGGTGGCGGGGGGGGGGGGGGGTAGATGGATATAGGCTTTTTACTCTTGAAATTGACGTATTCTATTTTACAATGCTCACACTTTCTGTGTTAGTTATTAATTCTGGGTAGTCAAGTTTTGAGATTGTAAACCTTAACGTTCTTGAATATGTTAAGGTGAATAACGCCTTACAAATATTGCACACGACATGTTTAATAACTGCTTGTTCTTCTGTGTGATAAGTCACTATAGAGCAAAATGAACCTCCATCTCTCCATTTAACGCGTCTGCCCTCGCTGTTCGACATTTTTAACTGTTTCCCCTCGACGAGGAGACTAAACACGGCGCGTGAAAGTTTCAGCGACTGTACAAAGCGCATGAATATTTAATGAGGTTATGCACTGAGGCAGTTTGTGATTGGTGTCTGTTGCTAAATAACTCGACATGTAGCGTCGTATTGGGTCGATAAAGCGGCGCTAGCATAACCCAGGGATAAAAGTGAAGCAGGTCCCCTTCCAAAATGGCAAATGTGGAACGTGTGCTTATCCCAGGGTTAAAAATGGTCTTTACATAGTGTTGAAAAAGACATTAACCCAGGGTTAAAAGCCCTGTAGAGTTCTGTAGAAGCTGTCTTGAGGTCCACCTCGCTTACAAGCCCATCACTTTGATCGTCATCAAAATAAATAAATAAATAAATCCATTGAGACTTGTTCCATCTCTCTCTCTCTCTCTCTCTCTCTCTCTCTCTCTCTCTCTCTCTCTCTCTCTCTCTCTCTCTCTCTCTCTCTCTCTCTCTCTCTCTCTCTCTCTCTCTCTCTCTCTCTCTCTCTCTCTCTCTCTCTCTCTCTCTCTGTGTGTGTATGTGTGTGTTCAGGTTTTACCTACATTGTGGTGACTAGATGTTCAAGGAAAAAAAAGCCCAAAAAGAATTACATTGTGGGGTCAAAGCAAATGGTCCTAATTAATAACATAAATCTTTGAATGCAAATGAAAATACATTTTGAGATTTATTAAATATTATTAGCTCAATTTGAAAACAATAGGAGCCAATGATGGAAAGAACCCCACCAAGACAAAAAAAGAATGTGTGTGTTTACTCGTGCGTGTGTGAGGCTCTGTAAACATCTCCCCCAATTAGTTTTCTTTAGAGATCGTGTTGTGTGCACAACAAAAACTCCCTGCTATACTATCTGAGACAAGGAGCCTATTATCTTGTGTCTTTTGTCTAAGTATGATGGCGCGAGAAGTAAAAGTAAATGGCAGCCGTCAAGACAATGAAAGAGAACATTATGAGCGAGGATGGGATCTGTACTGAAAGTGTCTGTCCAGTAACCTCTTAATTGGGGTCCTGCAGCCATGATTGTTCCTGTTCTGTTGCTTCACAATAAAATATTAATTTATGGTGACAGTCCGCACAATAGCATTTCACTGTGGTCTGTTCTAGCAGTAACATCAGCCGAACTATAATTACCTCCCGCATGCTTATCTTCTCTTTGCCAGTTGGTGTCATACGCAGCAACTCGCGTCTCCTGTTAGGTTCAGCCGCAACTGTGCCTTGTTTGTGCGCTCGCTTGCTCCTGCAGTGTGGTAATAACTGCTGAAGTATTGTACCTGTGGTGTGTTCGGAACGATCAATTCCTGGAGCCTTCAGCCAGAGGGTCCAAAGGGGGTCTTCCCTAGGAAGATCTTCCCAGGGGTGTCATTATTTCACAGGCTTGTCTAATTGATCCCCAACCCAGAGGACCTTGTTTGGCTTTAGGGTCACATCAGTGGCTAATTTACCAACCCAACCCTGGGAGTCGAGGGAAGAAGCTGCTTACCCAAGCCCCAGGGATGAAGTCCCTCCGTTGTAGTAAACAAAACTGTCCTCTGTATGTGCCTAGCAAAAAATGTGGCTTTGAGAAGCGGATCTGGGGAGGGTAGGAGGTTATCTTTTATTAATAGCACTGCTGGAGTACTCCCCGACCAGTGGTTAATCATGTTACTTGTGAACTATGGGGAGTCGTGCCGGCTGATTCTAGGAACTGTCTCCTTTTTGCAATATATGGTCCTCTGTACCCATCCCCCCACTGCAGGGCCCGTATTCACTATGGTGTGGTCGTCAGGCCTGCTTGGCTCCATGTTACGACTGAGTTTAGTTACTCGTTCACTCCCTCTCCACAACATAAGCACTGGCGTCAGTGTCTCTCAAAATCTATTTCCCTTTGGCAGCAGTGCCGTTCTCTCTATATCCTGCAGTACGCTGGAGCCTGTCCGCTTTGGAGCTCTCTTGACTTCAAGAACTTACAGTAATATGCTGTTTTTGACCTTTCCCTTCACTTCACAAAAATAGTAGTACCTTGTCACTAGGGCAGCACCCTTAAAAAAGTGAAAATATGTACCCTTAAAGTTCACCTTAAATAAAAAATGCTGTCATCCTTTACTCCCCTTCATGAGGTTCTTAAACCTGTATGCATTTATTTCTATTGTTGAGCAGATATTTCGACTCCTTAAAGGGATACTCCACTTTTTTGGAAATAGGCTCATTTTACAACTCCCCTAGAGTTAAACTGTTGAGTTTTACAATCAGCCGATTTTCTGATATTTAGAAGAATATCAGTAACCAGACAGCTTCTGGGCTCATTGACTTCCATAGTAGGGAAGAAAAAAATATATACTATGGAAGTCAATGAGACCAGAAACTGTCTGGTTACTGATATTCTTCTAAATATCAGAAAATTGGCTGATTGTAAAACTCAACAGTTTAACTCTGGGGAGTTGTAAATTGAGCCTATTTCCTAAAAAAGTGGAGTATCCCTTTAAAACAAAGGTCACTTTGGACCCAAAAGTTTAAAAAAAAAATATTTTCTTTTGAGTTCCACAGAAAAAAAGTAAGTCTAAAAGATATTTTTGGGTGCATGTTCCCTTTAGTCAGAAGTTGCAATCATCTTTTTTCCTCTATTGTGACAGTGAAATAGCTTCTCAAACAAAACAACAAATGTAGGGCCGGACTTGATTGGATCGCTTGCTATTTGCTGCGATCTCATGTGAGTGACTGGTTCCTGAAATGGAGGGATCATCGGAGAAATGTTTTTGCTAGGAGGAAGGAACATCAATGTTTTTGATTAAAGATTGCAAGGGCACGTGCATTTAAAAATAATGAGGTAAAACTTTAGTTTAGGGTCCAATTCTCACTATAAACTCGTTTTTTGGCATGCATATTAAGATATTGTCTGTTAAGTACTTATAAAGCACACATTAATGCCATGACCATATTCTACATCCCCAACTACCTTTCTAACCATTAATAAGCAGTAATTGGGAGTTTGAGGCACGAGTCATAATTAACAGTGTTAATGGGATCAAAGTGTGACCAATAATGATGAAACACTGCAAAATAAGATTTGTCAATTTTGATTTCATGGAGACGTTAGAGCATCTGCCTCAGTTACGAGCTAAAAGCTGCCAAGCAACACCTAAAAGTACTTTATTTTCGTCAATATTCTATTCCTACAGAAGTCTGCCCTTCTTGATCATTAACATGATCGCATTTGTTTTGTTTTTCATCATTATAGGAAGTTCTCCATCTTGGCCCTTCATCCATCCTCACCTCCACCCACTTCCTCTCTTCACACGTTATCACCACCTCCAGCCTGCTGCATGTCTCTGCCGTCTCTGCTCTTCCAATCATGCCATTTTTCTTTCCATTCACAGGCTAGAAGGGGTTTTGTCATCCATTTATACACTCACTTACCCTCCTACACACATCGTTCAAGATTTACCATTACACTCCACGCTGAGATGAGGTCCCGAGAGCTCTCAGTTGGGGTCTTAGGATGTAGGATATAGAGATTTTCAATGCAAATATCGGTGTCACTTAAAGACAGTTTCTGCTTCTTGCAGGTAATTGGTTAGATATTCACATGACAGACCGAGACAGCGGTATGGCAAGCCAGTGCCGTTGAGATCGCATCTCATTATTTACTCACCACCTTGTTGTTGTCCATAAACCTGTCCGTACACTTAAAGTCAATGGGGTCTAAAGGTTGTTTGGATCCCAATCCTTTCCTGTGTCCCAATGACGAAAGAAAGTCTTACAGGTTTGGAACGACACGAAGGTGAGTACGTGATGACAGAATTTTCCTTTTTGGTGGAACTATGCCTTTAATTGGTAGCTGTGCATTTTCAGCAGAATCTAAAATCGTCAAGAAAACGATCCCGCGTTGCGCAGGTAAACACCAGAAGCAAACATCGTTGAGAAGCGTGAGCGTTTGAAGTTGTGATGAGTGTAGGTGGAGAGGGAACGCGTTTGATGCTATAAAGAAGCACGTAGGAGGAGACGCTGCGTTTTCGTACTATGCTGCTGAATTCTATTTTTGATAGTCATTATTCTCATGCACATGGTCTACTTTTTGAGCTTTGTTTTTGATATGCAGACGTGGCGTGTGGGCACACATTTGATTTCGCCATGCTTGATACGCATCTGGAGAGACGACTGAATAAAGCCCGATGCGTTTTACGTGTAGACTCTAATGAGACACTGAGCGGAGGGGGCTTCATTCATCTTCATGCCTGAGCAGCCAAAGTAATGATTCTGTACATCAGTTATCTAGTCTTTAGACTCCTGTCTCTCAGGAGAAAGTGAGAAAGAGGCGAATGCTACAACGCTGGCTAAAGGATGGAGATTGGGAGAGTGATGGATTGAAAAAGAGAGCATGAG